CCCCTCTCCCTTGGCTGACAGGTTTTATGCCGTTTCTCAGCTGCAAAGTCCCATTGAGTTCCCCTCCCTGCAAGGATTTCAACAGAGCCCAAATGAGGTGTCTCCACTCCACCCTCTGTTCCATCCCCCTTTGCAGGTGCTATGGTTGCAGACTGTGAGTGTGGGGAGGAGTAGGTTTTGAGCACACCGACCACATTCCATCCAGGGAGCAGCAACTGTGTTTTACTCTACAATTTCTGTATTTTTCTGTTATAACCTCTATTAGGTTGTGAATATAACCTCTCTGTTTCCTCTGATACTACCACCATCTTTCCACAGCTGGGTGAAATGCAGTATGGAAAGTGGATGGATTTTACTGGTGGTCTTAAACTATAAGATATAGTCTAGTTCCACTGCAGAGAAACAGCCATCTCCATTCCAAAACACTACACAAGTCACTGCCCAAAGGAGGGTCAAATATTCAGAAAATTGAATGGAGGAGGGTGGGATAGGAACAGATAGAACGTTCTAAGTACTGTTTTGTACAGAAGTCTTGGGGACAGGGAACATAAGTAAAAGAAGATAAAGCATAGGAGGATCTGAAGAAAGCTAGGACAATCTTGGTAGTCAGCCCTGACTAAAGCCTAAAGAAAAACAGCTTTTTGGTGTGGTCTGAAAGAAGCTGTGGTGGTGCATGCGCCTTTCCTCCCCACCTCTGGATGCACTACAATGCAAGAAATGCTTGTCAGGCCTCAGCCTTGATGAACAGCACCTTGTCGCAGCTTTTCTTGGGCTTATCAGAAACACTGTCTGCTCCCAGGAACTCATGCTGTCTAATCAGCTCCTGCTTTTCAACAAACAACCTTGGAAACTTACTTTTCTGGCCTGAATATCAACCCAAGTGTATATTTTCTTTGAAAGCTCAATAGAAAAAAAAAAAAACCAAGAATTGTAGCCAGGATGGAAAATTACTATGGCTAAAGCCAACCCTCTTGTGACCCTACAAAGTGCAGTCCTACATGAGACCCTTTGAGCTCTCCAGGACTGCAGTGGGCTGTGAACTGTGGGCTCTCAGAGCTCTCAGACTTTCAAGTCTGCTTCCCAGTTGTTCCTTCCAGAACTTGCCCTTCTACCATCTCCAAAG